ATAATCAGTAGGGATGTTACTTTTGATGAAAATTCCATGCTTGATCGGAGAAAGGTTGTTATTGAGTATACGAGGTATTCGGGAGGAAAATGTTGGGAAGGAGGTGGAGTTTATCGTGGAGCATCCACAGAGAACATTTGAAGATGTTCCTATTCAGCCGGAAAGTGATAGTAAGCAACAAGACTTATATTCAGTCAAAGATGATGTTGAAGAAGTTGAGCAACCTCAGACCTTGGTTGTAAGGAGAGCTAAATGACAAATTAAGCCTCCCCAAAGATATGCCTTTGCTGATTTGGTAGCCTATACTCTTACAGTAGCTGAAGAGCTTAGTATTGAAGAACCTTCTACATTCCGTGAAGCTATCATTTGTTCTAAATTTGAGAAGTGGCTTGTTGCGATGAATGAAGAAATTGAGTCTCTTCATAAGAACCAAACCTGGGATCTTGTGAAATTGCTTAAGGGCAAAAGAGCTGTTGGATGGAAATGGATCTTCAAAAGAAAGGACAGAATTCCAGGGGTTGAAGATGAAAGATTCAAGGCACGCTTGGTAGCGAAGAGTTTTAGTTAAAAGGAGGGGATCGATTTCAATAAAGTGTTCTCCCCAGTTGTGAAACATAGTTCCATCCGTGTGTTGCTTGCGTTGGTGGCTTTTTATGATCTAGAACTTTAGCAACTTGATGTCAAGACCACTTTTCTACATGGCGAGCTTGAGGAGACAATATATATGTCTCAACCCGAGGGTTTTGTTGTTGAGGATAAAGAAGATCACATTTACAGGTTGAAACGCTCTTTGTATGGTCTCAAGCAATCTCCACGGCAATGGTACAAGAGGTTTGATAGCTTTATGTTAAGTCATGGCCACTCACGCAGTGCGCATGACAGTTGTGTGTACTATAGGAGATTACATGATGGTTCTTTTATTTATTTGCTGCTGTATGTGGATGACATGCTTATTGCAGCAAAGAACATGTTAGAGATACAACGGTTGAAGAGGCAACTGAGCAAGGAGTTTGAGATGAAGAATCTTGGAGCTGCAAAGAAGATTCTAGTTATGGAGATTCGCAGAGACAGACAGGTTGGGAAGTTATACCTTTCGCAGAAGAGGTATATTGAGAAAGTGCTTGAGCGCTTTGGCATGAAGAATGCCAAACCGGTAAGTACTCCTTTGGCATCCCATTTTAGGCTTTCGGCTTCTTTATCGCCTAAAACCAATGAAGAGGAAGATGAGATGTCTCGAGTTCCATATTCTAGTGCTGTGGGTAGTCTTATGTATGCTATGATTTGCACTCGTCTAGATATTTCCCAAGCTATTAGTATTGTGAGCAGGTATATGGCACATTCAGGGAAAGCTCACTGGCAAGCCGTGAAATGGATACTTCGGTACATCCGAGGCACATTGGATGTAGGTTTGGTCTTTGATAGAAGTTGTGATATAAGACATTCGGTTGTTAATTTCGTTGATTCTAACTATGCAGGCGATCTCGACAAAAGGAGATCTTTGACAGGTTATGTTTATATGCTTGGTGGTTCCGCGGTTAGTTGGAGAGCAACCTTGCAAGACACGGTTGCCTTGTCTACCACTGAAGCAGAGTATATTGTAGCAACGGAAGCGGCAAAGGAAGCTCTTTAGTTGAAGCGTTTGGTTACAGAACTTGGAGTGAAGCAGGAGGGGGCCTCCGTTATCTTTTGTGATACCCAAAGTGCAATCTAGTTGATCAAGAATGCGATGTATCATGAGAAAACGAAAAATGTTGACATCCGGTATCACTTTGTGCGTGATGAGGTTGCTAAGGGTACGATTACGGTGAAGAAAGTACCCACGGCAGATAACCTGGCAGACATGTTGACCAAACTAGTTCCTTTGACAAAGTTCAAGCATTGCTTCGACTTGATTGGCGTTTTCACCATTTGAGTTGGCTAAGCGGAGTTGGTGGTGTTTCATCCCTTGTTTCCTACACTGAGTATGCTCACGTAGGCTTAGGGGTGTACGTCGTCAATTCCGCTATTTTGGGGTGGCCTTGTGTGGTCACTTTTGGTGGTGAGGGAGAGAGGTTTTGTGGCATTTGATATATTGCTCTTCCGGAGATTTGAAGTCAAGGTAGAGATTTGTTGGGTTTTGACTTTCAAATTGATGACAGGGGTATTTTGGATCATGCACATTTATTTTAGGGGTTTTTTGAAGGGGGACTATAAAAGAGATGTCTTGCGCAACGCATCTCTAACCCTAGCCTCCACATTCTCTCATTTATTTGTTCTTTCTATCTTCTTATTTGATCATTAGATCTTGTGGCTCACCAAGTAGTTTTTTGAGCTTTTCGATTGTATTCGTTGTTGAAGATAGTGAAACCCCTCTCTCTCCCCGTGGTTTTTCCCGTTTTGGGTTTTCACATATATTTTGTGTCTCGTGTAATTCGATTTTGCTTTCATCCCTGCTATGTGAGCTTTTCGATTTGTTCATCTCTTGGTGTTGTTCCGCAACAGTGATAAATATTTTGTGCAGTGAAGTTCAACAGGCACACTCAATCTGAACCAATATTAACTCTCGCTTGCAATTTCTCTTTCCCTTTTCCTACTAACATCGCTACTTGTGCTCAAAAACAAACTTTTTCTAAACGGGTTGCATCTATATGTTCAGTTTTTACTTATTCAAAAAATCATTTCATCCCCTGCTTGGTTGCTTATTTGGACGAAACATAAAATGAAGGGATGTTTTCAAGTGGAGGCGTGTTTCCAAATTTTCTTCATTACCCAAAATATCCCTCTGCTTGAACCAATCACATAGCCTTCTCTAGAATACCTCTCATATTTGTTTCGCAAATAGGCTTCTCTCTTAAAGTTGATTGCTATATAATAAAATACCACAATCAAGGATCGCCATCTAATTTTTTAATATAAAAATAGTATAGATAACTGAATGACTTATTGATAAAGAGATTAAATTGACATATATTATTTAAAATAAAAATTAATGTTTATACCCCTTTTTTTTCTCAACTCCATCCTATTGCTATTTGTGTTTCATTTTTCTCGAAAAAATAATATTCAATATGAGGTATCAATAAGATAAAAAAAATTGTTAAAAGAGTGATTAATTCCACATAATCATAAATTCATAGGTCTCATGCAACATGCTAGTATAAGTTTTTAGTATTTGAACTTTTTAATCTCATAAAAGTTACATGGGAATATTGTATGGAAGCTATTATTTCAAAAGATACATATTAAAATATATTTTCTCTCGAGCATCATATAACATTGGTTATCCTGTACATGTGCTTCTAACATCAAATAACATGGTACAAATAATGCTTTGTGTGTGTATATATATACATACATGAATGCATATATTTTTAACATTATGATTTACATATTTAAGGAAATCTGTATGTCATGCATTAACGACTTTGACTTTCATGTTTCTTCACAGAATGGTTTTTTTATGGGTGTACAAGAACATTATTCGTCCTTGTAATAAGATTTGACAAAAAAGTTAATAATGGTAGTTGCGAGACATGACTAATATTATGTTATACGTCAGTTACATTGTAGGTTATGTAGGTTAATCCTTTTGATTATATCCTTTTTTTTCCTTATTGTAAATGCATTTCTTCATATTTTTCCATAAGAATTGTGCATTGGCAAATGAATATATAGAAAGAAAATAACGATTCACAACTTGATGTCAATGATTTCTTCATATAATAATGATTTTTGCTAATAGCCAGGGATGTGATCATAAGATATATTAAGATAACGTACCAAGATGACGCCTTTGATGTTGTCCGTGGTAAGATGAAACCCGATCTCGTCAGACTCCTGGAGACGCTGTAGCACATCGACCAGATCTTCTTTATCCGACGCAACTTCTGGCCTACCAGAGCATTGTTCTCGTTGCATTTTGTGGTCAGCAAGAATAGTATTGAAGATTTCGTCGTACTTCCGCTTTATCTTGTCCAACTTGAATTTAATCCCGTTAATGTAGATCAGAAACCATAGGGAAGGGAAAAGCTCGCCTAGGCCAAACCCGCTTGCCAACCTCATAGCGTCCTCAAACGTCGAGATCAACTCGTCCTGCTGCTTGCACCTCTGGCCAAAAGCCGCCTTGCAAATGATGGAATTCGTGCAAGCAGAGATATTCTTGCTGAGATTGAGAGGGAGACCCGACGACGATCCGATGTACTCAACGAGACTGTTCACCTCCTCTTCTCGCGCCCATGTGATTGACCGCACGCGCTTAACACTCAGAAGTTCCAAAACGCAGATCTTGCGGACTTGTCTCCAATATTCTCCGTACCGAGCGAAGAACACGCTCGAGTTGTCGTAGCTCGACAATTGTGGGAACGGTGGCCTGTCGGCAAAAGTGTGCTCGTGGGTCTTGAGGACCTCCTTGGCTGCTTCAGGAGTGGAAATTGTTACGACGGGAAGCTCGCCGAGTTGAAGATAGAAAACCGGTCCATATGTTTTGGCTAACTTGTTTAGGCGATGGTGAGGGAGTTCGCCGAACATCTGGTGCAGATTTCCAATCAGTGGCAACTTCTTAGGGCCTGGAGGCAACCTCAGATTGAACCCTTTTGTTCCATGTCTGCTAGAGATCACTTTGATTAGAATGAACAAAAAGAGAGACAGTGAAAGGATGAAGGAAAAGGCAGAGAGCTGAAGCATCCTGAAAGCTAACAATGGGTGGTGCTCGTGTTTTGGTCAAGCATCTTGAGCTATCTTTATTGTGTTTTGTTATCCACTGGTTGGCATTTGATCTTTCTAGTTGTTCGAACGTCGTTTTCTCAGACAGTTGGAGTCTTGTTTTAAATAAGCATCTCAAAGTTGCCGACATCACTTAAGTTTTCAAGGTAAATCACATCTCTTACCAATCCTATCCGATGCAACCGAAATATCAACATAGTGCTAAGGTTTCTGGACTTGGATCCATGGTGATACTGACCTCAATTCCTTTGAGCCACCCAATGCCTGATGCAGCGAAACCACTGTCAAATCGAGGATAGATGGGTAATAGACACTTCGACAAATTTCAGAGGACCAGATCCTCGAAAGTCGGTGACCGTTAGATTACAAAAGAACAAATCTTGATCGTTCATCAAAACTTTCTAAAATATTTGTGAAATACCACTTTTTGAGTATAAGGTACCATAAAATGGACTTGGATACGATGTTTAGAGACCGTTGAACTAGTGATCCAAGGGTCCCTTTACCTGAGGGGTGATTTTAAAGCAAATATCGATGGATCTCATGTCACGTGAGCATTAATAGTTTAATCCAACTGCGGAGATTTTTTAAATTCGATTTTGTGCTATGAGGAAACAAAATCCTATTTGGCTTGGATTTTGAAGAATTAATTCAGAGGACCGGATCGTCGAAAGTTGGTGACCGATAGATTACAAAAGAACAAATCTTGATCGTTCATCAAAGCCTTCTAAAATGCTTGTGAAATACCACATTTTGAGTACAAGGTACCCAAAAAGTGTACTTGGATATGATGTTTGGGGATGGCACAACCGGTGATCCAAGGGTCCCTCCACCTAAGGGGTGATTTTAAGGAGAAAATATTCACTAGTATCATACTGCCACGTCATTGTCCTACGTGGCGTATCTGTTCCATTAAAAAAGTGACACGTGTCAAGTGACATGGAAAAAAAAAAGAAGAAGAAAAATTGGAAGTTTTCAAGTGCGCGTTCTCTTTCTCTTTTCCTTTCCAGCGTCTTCTCCCCCACCCTCTCTCTTTCTTTATTTCAAAATTTCAAGCCTCACGCTTCACACCTCCCTCTCTCCGTCTCGCAAAATCTGAGGTTCATCTCTGGACGACCATCGTCGCGCTGCTGGAAAACGACGGAGGCTTGGTGGAGTGGAGTCGGGGTCGGAGGGTTGATGGCACGAGCTTTCCTCTAAAGAAAAGGTCGTCGGAGAGAGAGACTGACGCGAGTCGTGATTTTAGCCAGACGACCCAATGGAGAGGCGAAGTCGAACTCCCTGTCGACGACGTCACCGTCCTCGACGTCTCGGCTGGTCCTTGCCAAGACCCGGACCCGACCTACTTTACACCTCCGGGGTGGCTACTCGCCCCGTAGGACCCGTCGCCCAAGTGGAGCAAGTAGCCAGCCGAGCTTCCAAAATGAGCTTCGAAAATAGTTGCGTTGTCACCAACTCATTTCTCACTTTGAAGCAAGAGATTTGATCAGCTTCGCTAGAGAGAGAGAGAGAAAGCTGGGGTCTTTCGCACCTCCTCCTCCTCCGCCAGCCCAGACGCAAGTCCCTCTGCCGCCGGACCCCGGTAAGCCCGCCTTCCGATCATCCTCTGAATTCTGCCGTTCTTGCGAAAGTGTCTATTTGGCTAAACACTCCGTGTCGATTTCGGGAGTCGATTGTTCTCTCGAGTCGAGCCCTTCGTTTGTAGGGTGGTGAGGTTGATGTTTCTTCGTCTTCCTCGCCTGTGTTGATTCCGGTGAAATGCCGGAAAGAAGGAAAATGTGATGCGATGTGACGTGACGTGATGTGACGTAATAGTGTTAGATCACGAGAAAATTTGCTCGCAACGGAGCTCTTGAGTGTGTGAAAAACCTAATTTGTTCAGCGTTGAAGCTGCTTGCTTTTAATCCGATTGGCTAATTCTCGCTGCCTTTTGGCTTGGTGGTTTTGTGTTGAATCTTGTGAAACTGTGCTTGTGGATGGGGGATGGGAAAAGTTATTCGAGAAGCCGGCTAAGGCGGCGGTGCATTGGGATTTGCCATTATTCTGACTATGTATTGTTCTGTCAACGCATCGCGAAAGGATTTTAACCAAATTTACACTACCTTGAAGGCTGCTTGATGTAAAAGAAAAAAATAAATAAATTATGTGAATATACATATTGTAGATTGTCTTGAAGTGAGGTATTTGTAATAGAAAGTAAATCTTCATCTTGTTTCGGTTATCTTATAAGCAAGCAAGTGGGATTTACTTCATTTTCACTTGTCTGTGTCAAAGCAACTCGTTCCATAATAAGAAAATGTTTGCTCATTGTAGTTATATCAATTGTATTACCTAATTAGAATACGTTGTCATATGTCATTTGTACGCTAAGATCTATTTCATGGAGCTCGAAACTCTCTTCTTTTTTGTTTTCAAATTTGTTCACATACTGTAGGTGAAAAACCTGTAGAAGACGGAGCTCAACTTTCATCGGTTCCCATTCACATCGTTAGTTGTGCAACTCAACTTCCAGCTGAATTTCTGGAACCCTCTTCTGATAGGCAATTAGTGATTGGTTTTGATTGTGAGGGTGTTGACCTATGTTGCTATGGCAGGCTTTGTATCATGGAGGTATGTAGTCCTTTTCAACGATGTTGACATTTCATTGAGACATCCAGCATCATTTATCATATATAGAGTGATGATTAACATCAAACATGAACCACATGATTTGCATTTTCACCTTTTTGATAAGATGTAAATATGACATCACTAACACTTTCGCTTTCCTACAGACGCCCTATCACCCATATTGAAGAATAGATAAGCATAATATACAGACAGATGGTTTGCAAATGGGGGTAGAGTCACATAATTAAACTAAAATGTAACAATTGGGCTCACGTAATGTTAATGTTCAGCTAATAGGTTATGTAATTTCAATATTCAATGGCAGAGCCAGAGAATTATATGCGTGTGTACATACACAGATCATCTGATTTTATCCTAAGTGAATGTATGAAGTAATGTGGTAGGTCTTGTCCATTGTAGGAATAATTTTATGTGTCCAGTTCATATATGCTGTTTAGAAGCAATTGGATCCTATTTTCCATGCTGTGTTGCTTCCTTAGTCTCTTTCTGTTCATTGAATGTTGAATGTCCTTTAGGTTTTCGTGCTTGTAATCAAGTAGAGTTTCCAATAGTTCCACCTAAGAACTCATTTTTTTTGGAAAATTAGAGTTCTTTTCTGATGATTCAAGCATTGTGTAATCTGCAGCTAGCTTTTCCAGATGCTATATATTTGGTTGATGCCATTCAGGGAGGTGAGATGCTCATGAAAGCTTGCAAGCCTGCACTCGAGTCTATGTACGTCACCAAAGTTATTCATGACTGCAAACGAGATAGTGAGGTCTCTAACTGGTTTTATTTGCTTTTGCATCTCAACCACTCTCACATACATTATGACACACGGTTCTTGTGCTTGGACATTTGATTTTGTAGGCTTTACTTCCAATTTGGCATCAAATTGAATAATGTTGTGGATACTCAGGTGAGCATTTCGTATGAAATTTCAGTCTTATGGTAGGCTTTGTCTTTCATTTTTGCAACTTGATGCAACAATTGATTGAGGAGGCTTACTTAAGTTTATAAAATTATTGGGAATAACAAATTGTTGTGATTTAAGCAGATTGCTTACCACCTTATAGAGGAGCAAGAAGAAAGGAAGCGATTGCCCGATGATTACATATCTTTTGTCAGCCTTCTTGCAGATGCACGTTGTGGTGGTATAGTGCATCTTCTGTTATTGCTCGGGCTCTTACTTTAGGTCGGGGGGCATACTTTTTTGCATGTTCTAGGATCAAGAAAAGTACTCTGGACCAGAACTTTATGTTTCCTCTTATCTGCCTTCAACTCTTGTGTGGTTCTCACACGTCAATGTCTATGGGAACTACAATATGAAATGACATCCAAATTGCACATCATGTGGGGTGTTTTAATTTCTTCTTCTCTGGTTTTGATGCAGGCATATCTTATCTCGAGAAGGAAGAAGTTCGTATCCTCCTTAGGCAGGTGAGTTGAAGTATTTGATTAGTTGTGGTCATCGTGTGGAAACCAGTTGTTTTTGGCCTTTGCACTCACTCCCCCAGGATTGATATCTGGTTCAGTTTTCCAAACTATGAGCTGTGATGCATCAATACTTGACACAAAAATGCTAAATACGCTACAACAAATATCTCTGTTGTTGGAGATTGCTTTGAGCTTTTGCTGCTACCAGTGCATTGCTTTTAGATCAGACCATGCTCAGGAATTATAGTTCTGATATTAAGGCTATTCAACAACAGTGAGTTCAACAGAGAGCTTGTTTTATTTTACCTACAAATGTTGTGGCAATCACAATTTTCCCTCTGCAAAAGCGAATTATTAGTTGTTAATTAACTCAGAAGCAGTGTCTACCCTTCCCAAATTCTGCCGAATAGAATTTTGAATGCTAACTATTATCTCACTAGTGATCTGATCCACTAGACTCACATACTATCAGCTGAGTTACATTATGGAGTTCTTAAGCAGAAGCCAATCAAGAGATGATAATTTTTTTAGTATGGTTCATTAGTTCGGAGTAAATGGCCAGTTAAAAAATAACTCCAGTTTGAACAAATATATTAGTTTACATGTTGGTGATTGTTTCATTTATATGATAGCTCCAGTTGCTCTAACTATGCTCGTGACTACTAATGTGCACCTTTTACATAGCCGCACGATGTGCCCAGTGCAAAATATTCTTTTGCCTTTCACTAATATGCGTGTTTCATTTACAGGACCCTAAGTTCTGGACATACAGACCATTTTCTGAAATGATGATACGTGCAGCTGCAGATGATGTTCGATTTCTTGTTTACATCTATCGCAAGATGATGAAGAAACTGAATCCACGATCCTTGTAGTATCTGGCAGTTGGCAGTGCTCTTTATTGTCGGTGTTTTTGTATCAATGACAATAATTATGCTGATTGGCCATCTTTGCCTCCGATTCCAGGTTTAAAAATTACAGATAAAAATTTTTGGACTAGCTTTTGTTTATTCTGTATTTTTTGGTAACTGCTAGATGCATCGTGTGGGGAACTAGTGCTTGCACTTGTTGACTTTGTCACCCCATCCTTCTAAGTCATTCTAGGGTTTCTGCTGGTATTTAATATGCTCTGAATTAGGATTGAGATGTGGAATTGTTCAAAAGATAGAAGGTTGGTGCAACTTTTTTTCCTGTCTTCAAATTGGAGCAGACATCAATGACAATTTAGATCGTACAGATGGGTGGAGATTTCCAGTGAATGACTTCCTGAGGTGCTTTTTCAGAGCTCAGCGAAGTTAACTTGGATAGTATAATGGTTGCTTAACGTGGCTGGCATAAATCAAAATCACTATTTTCAGGGCCATTAATGTCTTCTTCAAGTGATGTTGCTTTCTACATTGCATGGTCGCATCAAATTTAAGTTCCAATTTTTTTAAAGTCCTAAATGTGCAATATAGAGATGTTACTTTAGCTTAGTACCATGTCTTTGTTGAGATAAGGTGCCACCTTTTAACTAGGCTTGTAGAAATTGCTTTGCTTGCGGATATGTCATCTTATGATTCAGTTTTTAATGCTAATATTTTATTTTTCAACATGAAAATAATCATCAGATTTTGTTGTTAATGACTCGGGATGCATCACTTGCAGGTGGCATAGTATTATAAAAACGAGTTAATATGAGAATGTCAAAAGAGTTTTGTACTTTGAATGCTAAAACAAGAGCCTTGACTCGAGGACTAATTTCAGAGTACTTCACGTGTAGATGACATGTCAGCAGCGGAAAATGCTCCAGAGGACGAAATCCTCTCTGTTCTTGATGTTCCACCCGGAAAGATGGGACGTGTTATTGGAAGGAGTGGAGCTTCAATAATGTCTGTTAAGGAATCTTGCAAGTAGATCTCTCTCTCTCTGCACCTGTGTGCTGTCATGACTATCTGTCCTGTTGAAAATACATGTCTGTTAAAATACGGACACTTTCAGCTGTTTAAATGATGAAGGGCTGTTTTCGACCCGACGCCCGATACATCTAGACTGCCATCACTTGTTTCTTCTTGCTCGGTTGTCTTCTTGCTGTTGGCCAGCCCGTATGGCTAGGCCGAGCGCCCTAGGATCACCATAGCGAGATATTAACGGTACGGTAAAAAGATGGATAAAATTTGTGCACCTGATTTGGATTCCATCGGCCTGGATGCGGAAATGACGATGAACCGGTGCCGTATGTCTTCTCCCCTGTCACCCCCGAAGTCCCGGCGCTATGAGACTGCCTCAGCCAACTCACGGAAGCCTTAGGTGAGTTTGAGAGCGTTTGAGAGAGATTGGAGAGAGTTAGGTGCAGAGGAGGGACCTGCAGCTCTATTTATAGAGTTTCCAGCCAGGCCCTCTCATAACGGGCCGGGCCGAACTCGGCCCACACAAGCCGGGCCCATATCCGACCAATTAAGAAACCTTATATCCAAACTTATTAGACCAAACCCGTAAGCGGGTAATAACAATCTCAATTAATGTAACCCACATCAGGAAAACGTTACATTCTCCCACTTGGGTTATATTAATTGAAATCGTACCTTATGTGCACCTTTATTTGGTCTATGGATAATTCTTAATAGTCAATCCGATCCCATAAAGTTTCAAACACCGAATCATGGCGGTAACTGCATGTAATCACGCAGAGCCTTCCATGGTCACAAGTGCCTTAGACTTTACTGATATGGATTCGATATGGTTGTGTGGCAAACGGATGACACCTCATAAAAAGTGATATCTCATGTGTCATCCCCTTTGTCAGTCCTCATTCTCTTTCCTTAAGTGTCACAAAAACCTGATGTGTCACTAGAGAATATCTTTATGGTTCCAATGAACCTACATATGTCTTATCCTTATTGTTAACATTACTTTATGTGTCATAAGACATATCCTTAAGGCCAATTGTAACAGCCTGAATTTCGATGTAATTCCGGGATCAATAAATTGACCATATTTCGCATTTCATTTTAGTAAGTCTCGCCCAGAGCTGATCACTCTCGGGACACTAACCAATAGGGTATGGCTAACTAGAAAAATGGTACGTGGACCAGGGACCCGATCGTGAATTGGGCACCGATCTCGAGAAATGACGAGAGAATATTATGAACCAGTATGGACCGATCTTAGGAAAGGTAACGGATCTGGTTTGGTCAAGGCCAACGATGTACCATCGGATCGCAGGTGATTTTGCAAGACCGAAATTACACGTGGCCAACCAGTCTTGAACTTGAACCGAGTGATCGTGACCTCTGGAACTAATGATAATTTCTCATTCTCTCAATGATCGAGACCATTACGATATGGATAGCCCTAGGTCGATACGCGTAACTCCTAAACAATGCTGTTAGTGAGAGACCCGAAATTGAAAGTTTAGCGAGTTTTGTTCACGGAATTGAGCCCGGATTTCGAGGTCGATTTTCGAAGGCTTAAGAGACTATTTTTGGGAATCTGACGTCATATTACGCTGGCCACACACGTTTGGGGTTAGTACGAGTAAAAATTGGAATTTCGGTCCGGGGTGAGAAATTACTGTTTTGCCCCCGTGGCACCGAGGCCGATCGGAGGCCGTTTGAGGTTATTTTTCACGGCCAATGTCATTTTGGGGTGGCCACGCACATTTAGAGTGGTTTTGGCCAAAAAGTGGAATATCGACAAAAATTGGAAAAATAATATTATTTTATTCCCGAAACTTTGCAGTCAGTTTTCGAGGACTTAAAAAGTGAATTTTGCGATTCCGACGCCATATTATGTTGGCCACGCACATATGGAACGCGTGTGTGCGAAAATTGGAATTTTGACCCGGGACCGAAAAATTACCAAAATGCCCTTGGACCCATTTTTGGTAATTCCGAATTTTGGATTTAATTAGGGGACTAACCAAGGTGAGTTAGGGCTAAACCAGGTCTGGTCAGCTTGGGTTAAGGACCAATGACCATTTTACCCCTAAATAATTGGATAAGAAGGAATTATAGCCATTGGATCAAGGGCAAAATTGTCCAATAGCCCTAGATCTTGACACTTGGAATCCACTCACCCATTGTTGACTCACTTGGACCAGACCATTTCTCTCTCTCGTGAGATTCATTCGGTCATTTCCCGTAAAATCTTCTTCTTCTCTTCCGTTTCTGGTTCTGCAGCTTCACGTTCGCATTTTCTCGGTAATCGTTCACGATGGAACAAGACCACGGAGCTGCTGGCCACCTACCACCGCACGCCACAGCACCCTTGGACCTTTCTCTCACCTGTTCGGCCATCCACAGTCCCATTTCCAGCCCAAACAGAACAAAATCAGCAGCAAATCGCCTCCGCCGGTGTCGCCGCGAACCGCCGGCTTGCACCCGGAACGCCGCCGTCGATCCTTACCGCGCGTCGGTGATCGACCGCCCGTTCCCGTCGTCCCGAGTCGTTAATAGGCGAGTATAAACCCCTAAACCCTTAATTAGTTTAATTGTGCATTTTTAGGGGTTAATTAGGTCTAATTGAGGGTTAATTAGGTTTAATTGTGCGTGTGATGTTTTGTATGGGTCATTAGGATCTAATGAGATGTTTTAATGGTGGATTAAGGCCCAAAACGCACCCTGTTCGCAATCGTTCACTCGAGTACCGAAATTGTGTATTTTTGTCTAAGTTTTGTACTAATTGAGTTCAATGGTTAATGACTTAGAATTGGACATTTTAGGGGCTAATTAAGCTTATTTGAAGCTTAAGTAAGTGTATTTGGTAGTCGGGTGATTAGGGTACGTGATTAGGCCTTAATGTGATTGTTTAAGTGTGAACTAGTGACTAAGGCTTAATATGCCCAGGCTGTTTATTAGTACCGAAATTGCACAAATTTGTCTAAGTGTGGCACTAATTGAGTTCAATGATTCAAGACTTGAAATTAGGCAATTCAAGTGTTATTTGGACTTAATTGAGGCCTAATTAAGTGTATTTGGTTGTTGGGTGATTGGAGTTTGAGATTAGAGCCTAATGAGGGTGTTTAATTGTGGTTTAGTAGACAAAATGTGTCCTCCCCTGGTACTGTTCATTGAGTACCGAATTTGTGCAATTTGTCCAAGTTGAGTACTTAGTTGAGTCATTGGTTGATGGCAAGGAATTAGGCATTTTTAGGAGTTATTTAGGACTTATATAAATCCTATCTATTGACCCCGTACCAATGAGAATGAGGACTAAGTCTAATTTGCCAAGGCGGGCCTTAGGCGCATTACATTGAATTGTAATAAATGTGCGGAATCAATGTTGAATGGGTTGGGTGAGAACGGAAATAAATTGATTGTATTGAGGATGAGTTGAATGCGTCTAAATCGAGCATGAGTATGTTTGGTATATTAGTGTCGGAGATCGACCTTGAGTGCCTTGGCTTGTATTCATCTCTCGTGATATTGTGTGGCTGATTTTGTGGAGTGCGATTGGCCAATGATTGGTTTGAAATATGTGTTTGAATTGTGAATCGCACGTTGGGCCACACGGTATTAATTGGGTCAATTGAGCACGTGCTGTGATATTGAGTGATTGGATTTCATTGGCGCTCGTGGTGCATTACATTGCATAACATGGACACGCATTGTGTATGCCAAGAGTGTGGCATGTGGTGAAATTGTGCGAGAATGCGTGTCTGCCATGAGCATGTGATCACCTAAAATACCCTGAAGCGTTATACGCTGGGTTCAGATAATAATAAGTTGTGTGATCACCTAAGGACCTTCGGGTCGATACCGTCCTCATGCACTTTGAAGCAGGACGATGCCCGGTACGTCCGGAAGGCAACCATCCTCATGCACTTTGAAGCAGGCTCTGGTTCGCAAGGAGAACAGTGTTGCGCCTCATGCACTTTGAAGCAG